TATATATATATATATCTATATATACCATATCATCTATTTTCTGAAACAATTGCCTCATTATCCTGTATAGGATACATCACATATAATTCTCACCCACTGATGATCTGCCAGCTAATCTCAATGATTTCTGATTGTGAATTATAAAGTTATTAATTAGTGTTTTGGCAGAAAAGGCTAATACAGATTGTTGTTTTATCGATTCTATCATGTAGAAAAGTATCTTTGTTACATTTATTACATTGTTCTTAGTGTCAGGAATTCTGGTAGCTTTCTCAGGTTTCTGGGTGCCAAAAACAAAAAATGTAGATTTCCTTATATTATGCACAAGCTAAAGTATCTCTTTCATTATAGGACCTGCCTAATCGCGGTAAAAAGATTGTATGATAATCGTACAGTTTATGGAAGGCGTGCAACCGTTTCTACTTTACAGTCGCATGCTTGTTCAACAACTGCCAAACGGGCCGCGCACACCGCCTGTTTGCAGTGATCGGGCTTTTGATGATCGCAAGTACAATCTGCCTGTCCAAGGTGGGCAGATTGTACGAGCTTTTAATTAGCTTACGACCATCGCAAGAAAAAAGTCTTGCGATGGTCGTAAGGTATATGGGCACCTTTAGTGTCTGTATTTCTGGTTGTGTGGGTGTGCGTATTTCTATGTGTGAATATTTCTGTGTGTGCGTATTTCTATGTGTGCATATTTCTGTGTGTGCGTATTTCTATGTGTGTGTATTTCTATGTGTGCATGTTTCTGTTTGTGCGTATTCCTGTGTGTGTGCGTATTTCTATATGAGTGCGTATTTCTGTGGGGGAGTGTGTATTTCTCTGTATGCATATTTCTGTGTGTGAATGAATGTGTGAATCTGTTGGTCCTCTATGATTAAAATTAAAACCTGTAGGGGGAAAAAACACATGCATATACTGACACTGCACACATATACACATGTATACATACTGATATGACACAGAGAAACATTAACACACATACCAACATCACAAAAAAATATATTGACATTGCATACAAAGAAACTATCACAAACACATATACTGACATTATAAACACAGGCAGACATTAATACTGGTACTGTACATAGTTACATTTTATTTTGAAGTATGAAATTTGGCAAGTGGGAGAAGAAAATTTGTCCAGTGGCCCCCAAGTGAATTGAGTTTGAGACCCCTGCACTACATGAATTGAGAGTAAACCCTTGCCAAAATCTGCGGCCACGCGATATCTCTCTACAAAGCCAGATGCTCAGTCTTTCATGAGGTTTGTAAGAGTCCTATAGATTAGGGTGTACACTTAGGAGCAAAGTGCAACCTTTCCTCACCAAACTGGTTTTCCCAGGGCTCGTCTCATAGCATATGATATTAATTGTGTGTTCAATAGTTTGTTTGACCAGATTATTTGTAAAAGATTTTGAAATGTTTTGCCTACAACCTTTTCTAACTGTAATTACAGTAGTATCAATTGTACATGTTATCTGTGCTGGCATTTTAGGAACCATTGTAAGGATTGTAATTGGTGGCTAAGCACTTGAGATGACTTTCAGGTATCTATTATAGTGATCAACGTTATTTTCCATACTTCTTTCTTTGCTTCACACAGGGAGATCGTGGAATAGAAGGATTAGCTGGATTACCAGTAAGTAGAATATAACTTCCATATGAATTTTATGTTTTAAGTTATGTCTTGGTCCATTGGCATCTGTACTCAGTATAGGTGTTGTAGGATAAAAGCAACGTAGTCAAAGCTATGTAATTACATGCGATTGTTGTTTATTAAAATACATATCCTTAGATTGCCAGCTGAAATTCTATTAAAAAGATATGTTCCTCATGTTTTGTCATTTTGTATGATATAGACAACATCAAGGAAAAGAATCAGCATTTTATGTTTTTATAGGGTATACCAGGAGATTTTGGAATGACAGGACCAACTGGACCCAAAGGAGAAAAGGTCAGACGTAACTGATTTTCTCATAACTGCTTTTGATGGTTAAAGTTGGCAATTATTGGCAAAGTGTCTTGTCTCTCCTGTATGCTATTATTTTCTTTTGTAGGGAGATCAATGTAGCATCTGTCCAAGTCTCCCAGCTGAAGTAACGAAACCTGATACTATCTATGCCATACCAGGAACCCCAGGAGAGAAAGGAGAAAAGGGGGAACTTGGAACTGGACTGCCAGGGAAGAATGTAAGAAGAATTTACGTTAAAAAAAATGCATAATCACTTTAAACAAGTGAGCACTGGGGACAAATGGTCCATAGGATAGGGCAGGTGAAAGCAAATAACACAGTTTGAATAGTGTAACATCGCATTCAATACTAGGATAATAAAATAGAAGATGAGGCATATGTAAACCCAATTACGAAGTCCATCTGGGCATAAAATGCCTCTATTTCAAACACTTCACATGAAGGTGGTGTATAGGAGCCTACATTTTTCTGATGTAGGAGCGTTCCAAATACTCAAACCCCTATATAACAGGTTCTAACAAGATCTTGATCCCTGGAGGATTGCCCAACTTAGCCACTAACTGTAGTCTCTTTCTGCTCAGAAATTATACCACCATCTTTTCACACTTTTGAACAATAGTTTATAGACCCCAGCCTCATCCGACCTTCCTTTTCACTCCCTTATTCCCTCCTAACAGATTAGGAAGCTACCCACCTCCCTATCTCAAGAAATGGGAGACTGAACTGGTAATTACCTTCACGCCTAAACAAACCAATCGTATCTTGAGACTAGCCCACACATCCTTCATCTTCAACACATATCAAGAAGCTAAACTCAAAATTATATTCAGGTGGTACAAAACCTCAGACCTCCTACAATAAATTTACTAATAAATAATAAATACTAATAAACTGTAATAACCACAGAAATACACTACTACACATCTTTTGGAGTTGTTCCAAGTTTAAAGGCTACTGGAATCCTCAAACTCACATATATGGACCTAGGTTCTACTCCCATGGTCTGTCGGCTCCATGCCACGCCCCTCTCCATACAATTATACAAAAAAACCCTCCTGATTAATTTAGTTAATGCCGCCAGAGCATGTATTCCAATCCTATGGAAACATGCTCTTTTGTTTAGTTTACTAATTTGTATTGAAATTATAGTCTATCACTTGGAGTGAGCTTGGAGCGGAGGATACTTTACAACACACACAGGGACCATAAAGAACTAAAGTAGAAGGAAGGACAGTGTGAGCACTAATTCAGACATGATTTGAATTACTCGGGAACAGAAAAAAATGTGCACTCAAATTTAAGTTTAATTCTCTGGAAATAGTTGATGTATTTAATCCAATTTCCATATATGTTTTTTTATACCTTGGCGCTGTCCTGATGATTGAGCCATGTTGATGCATATAGGACAATAATGTCTTATTCAATGGCTATTAAGCAGCTTTGCTTTTTATTGCCTACAGGGTATGCCAGGTGATGCTGGAACAAAAGGTCAGAAGGTAAGTTGGTAAATGCATGAGAATAAACTCTCTGACATACTGCTTGTATCTAAGGTAGTATTGTATACAGTATATGCTTATTGTAGAAGATTCTAACTCATTCTCCTTTATACACAATAGGGTGAGTCTGGCAGCCAAGGGGACTCTGGGATTCCAGGGACAACAGGTGTGCCAGGTCTACCTGGAGCACCAGGAAACCAAGGGCCCATCGGATTTAAAGGGGAAAAGGTACTAGAATGTAAAAGCCAACGTATAAATTCTGCGTATTGCACAACATTTTTAGAGCAAAACCTGTGATAGCATATTTGTCTTACATAATATAATAACATATTTTGCCTACTTACATTTGTTAGGATATTTTACAATTTGATTGAATTACTGACTCTGCGTATCTCCTGATTACAGGGAGAAGCATGTGACTCTTGTCCAACAATAATGGATGGAAATCAAGATGCCATCGGCATACCTGGAAAACCGGGACCTAAGGGGGACCAGGGTCCTGCAGGGGTTGGACAAACAGGAAAACCCGTAAGTCATGAAGTGTAATATGGAGGAGTCATTTAACTTCCAATTTGCCCTAACCATTTTGTTCTTCATTAGGGGAAGCCAGGAATACCTGGGGTTCAAGGGCCACTAGGACCTAAAGGAACTCAGGTAAATGGGAGTGATCTAACCCATCCTTTCAACTTAAGCTCATTCAAGATCAGTTACAATTTACTAAAAGAATAAATGTTATTGTAGACATTTATTTTAGATATACAGTATATGCATGCGTCAGATATGTTATCTTTATGTAATGGTGTCTGTTATACAAAAAAGAAAACACAACTAAAATGCAGTTATTGCACAGATTTATGTTTATCATACTGGGTATAACCAAAACACTACCTACTTTGTAACCTTACAGTATGCTTTTATGTTTTTGTATTTTATTATATACAAAATATGTTCTGTGCGATACATACATGTAAAAACCTATAAAAACATAAATTGTTGTTGTTTTTGAGCCTATAGTACTCTGTATAAGGGTGTATTTGTACTGCAAAGGGAAGGCTCACTTTAATCTAAAAAAGTATGCATCTTGCCCCCAGCCTTTCCCAAGGCCTCTGCAGTAGTAAGATACACATGCACATGGGGCCAAAGCAGTTTTTGCTTTCCTTTTTTGGCCATTGTGCTGAGCTGAGGACTGGGTGTGCTCATAAAGAACAATGACAGTCCCTGCCATGGGCCAGACGGCCTGCCATAATTCTCAATAACTATACCTGTCATCAGTTTGGTGCATGCATAACATTGCAATGATCATAGGATTGCTCTCCCTCCAAGTAGGCCATGCAGCGATACTTGACATTTCTTCTAAACAGAGGTGCACATGTACATTTACCTTAAGGCAGGAGAGGTTGTTTAAATTATAGATTAATAAAAGCTTCACATCAACCAGAATACACTAATTATGCTAATAAGAATAATAAATATTTGTTGGAATAATCTGCTGTAAATAAAGCACCCTTCACTTGATTTAAGCTTATGAGTAGTGTACTGTACTGTATACTATTGAAGGTATAAATCCTGATAGCAACTCAGCATCTGTTGAGAAGCTGCTGGAATCCCCATCAAGGCTAGCTACGACCCACACGTCACTGCCAAACCACTGGCTGAGGATCGCTGCTCTAAAGATATAGCTAACATCACATCATACTAATTGCAATTATTGCAATCTTATATAGATGCCTGCACTGTGTACTGATTCATTCCCTCTAGTTACTTACAAATTGTAATTACAGCTGGGATAGAAAGTTAAATCTAAATAGTAGTTGCCCTTGTATTGCTTGACAACATAGCAATCACGTGACCTACCATGGCCACAGTTACATCCTAACACATTAACAAACAAACCTTTTATTGGCTTTATATCAATGCTTTTGTTTTCCTTCAGGGGGAACCAGGGCTTCCAGGAGAAGGAAAAAGAGGAGAACAGGCAAGAACAAGAACTATCTTTTCTTTTTTTTTGTAAAAACAATAACAATCATAATAATACACCAGTGGATGTCTTTTACTAAACCAAAATATGAAAGGATATGCATTGTGCATGTGTATCATTGTGTGAGGTGTGACTATCTCTGTTATTGTTACTATTATTTGTTTTTAGGGGGAAAGAGGACTACCTGGCCCAACTGGAAAAACAGTAAGTAATGCCTGTTACATACTATACCCAATCATTACATATATTGTATGCATCTTATATTTATATAAAGCTTACAGTATGTATATTTTATATGAGGAAAAAAAATTCAATTTGTTTATAGACAAGGTGACAATTTATAGTAATTATTCTCATTTGCTCTCCTAGGGACCTCCAGGACCTCAGGGACCTCCAGGATTTATGGGCCCCAAAGGCGAAAAGGTTAACTCAGACTTGTAAATTATTCAGGCATGAGAATATGTAATAGAAAAAATTGTTTTCTGTACACCTATGTATCTGTCTGTCTGGCCATATATCTAATTGTTAACCCACCTGTCATTATTCCTCACCGCAACTTTTAACCTCTTGATCTTTTTCCCAGAAGGCAGGTTAACTATATGAAAGACTAGAGTTATAGATCAAATCACCAACACAATTGCTATAATCATTTTCTGCAGCATTTACAGTAGACTATAACAGGCTACTGATAATATCTCTTCTTCAGGGTAGCTTTGGACAAAAAGGATCAACAGGAGAACCAGGAATTCCAGGAATGGGTGCCATGGGACCACCAGTGAGTATAGCCGCTATTTGAGCACAAATATATTTTGCTAAACGGTTAACCTATTTGCCAATTAACATATCCTATTTATAAAGCTTAGCAGACACATTCATATTTGTTTTGTTTTTAAGGCTGACTATTTTTTTAAATAAATGCGCTATATGTTTACTCCTTTTTTTTTTTTTATTATAAAGCAGCAAACAGAGAATTGGCAATATGAACAATTATGCATTGGTTTCCTAAATTGCCCATGCGAAGTACTATAAATATTTTTAAATTGCAATTAGAAACTGGAAAACTCTCATTACTATTAAAAAGTGGTAAATCTAACCTTACAGGAGAACTATGAGGTAAGTGATTTCCACTCACCTCATAGTTCTAGCCGGCCTGTGACAATGAGACTGTCACAGGTCGGCTCAGTAGATCGGGAGGTGAGCAAACAGATACCGGCGTTCGCTCACCTCTCCATCCTGTCACGGCTCTCTGCCGTGACAGGGGAGGGGCTGGATTCCCCCCTCCCCGCTCCGATCTGCCAGCGCTGACTGGCGGAATGGAACGGGCGGGTACAGCTGGCTCTGCCTTTAGATAGGCAGAGCCAGCTGTCAGTACCGCAGCTGGGCGGATCCCGGCACAATTGTCTGGATCCGCTTCAGCTGCGGCGTCTCAGTATACTGCGAGCAGCTGCTCGCGGTATACTACGGCGTCTCAGTATACCGGGAGCTACAGCCCGTGGTATACTGAGCCTAGGGTGACAGGAAGACGCTAGTTTGTGTCCTCCCGTTACCCTAAGGAGAACTATGGGGAAAAGACTTAACCCCATAGTTCCCCTTTAAACAGCAAACAGGTGAAAGAACTGTGCACCAAACTTTCAGACATAGTGCTGTTATTAAATGTCAGTTTGTTGATAGTGCATCATATGACCTAAAATAAGTAGCCATACATAGATGGATCAAGCTACTTTCTCATTACAGAAAATCCTGAAGGAAGTCTGAATTTGTAACTATCCCACTACTAAAGTATCCTAAATAGAGTCAAAACTCCTGGCCAAAAAAAGGTCACACTCTCTAATATTTCATTGGACCATGTTAAGCTTTGATTACAGCTCAAATTCACTGGGGCATCATTATGATAAGCTTATGCAATTTCACAACATATATTTCCTTCTGGAGTTGCATACATTTTTCACCAAGATCTTGTAGTGATGATGGGAGAGTTGGACCACTGCATAAAGTCTTCTCCAACACATCGCAAAGAGTCTCAATGGGGTTAAGATCTCGACTCTGTGGTGGCGAATCAATGTGTGAACGTGATGTCTCATGCTCCTTGAACTACTCTTTCACAATTTGAGCCCAATGAATCCTGGCATTGTCATCTTGGAACATGCCTGTGCCATCAAAGAAGAAAAAATCCATACACTGTATATATACAATATATGTAGAATCAACCTTTATAAACAGAGTGATTACAGATGAGAAAGTGGTAACCAAATCAACCCTTTCACAATAGGCACCTATGTTCTCAAGATTTTTGTCTTCTCTTCTTGCAGCCATACCAAAGATGGCTTTATGCCATAAAGATGGCCATACCAAAGATTACATATCTTCAGTACAGTTTTTCATTATCTCATGTCTTTGTTGTAAATGTATCTTCTTTCCTTCTTCTGAATTTACTACAAAGCAAACTATATCAGTTTAGTATAAAAATAGAACACACTATCATAAATACTAAATCATGAATAATAGTGCATCCATAATGATTACATAAATATCTAAAATCTCAGTATTGACAGCAACAAAGCTGGAAACACAAATTGAGAAGCTTAAATAATAAATCTGTGATTTGGACATTATCTGGAAGGGTCAGTTTTGCTCTTTGTAATTCATAGCCGTGCATCTTGTCAAACATACCATAAATAACTATGTCAGAGTTAAAATCAGAGTTAAAAAAGATACTTATGATCTTACAGTCACTAAAGGGTATTTGACATATTTTGACCCACATGATATTCAGTAAACATTGGCTTTCATAAAGGTGTAGAAGCCTAAAAGGAGTTAAGAAATACTGCTTTTTGACCATAAATAATATGTTGTTTTAAAGTTAAGCGTAACGTTCCCATTTGTCCACACCAAGAGCCGTGCTCAAAAACACAGCTGCTGGTGTGCATGTGCCCATACAGTGTCGATGCACTCCATTGAGCCACATTGTACTGTTTCTTTTTATTGTTAGGATTTTATTGAAATGTCACAAGTGACATTTAATTTAGTTCTATGGGCTCACCGCGATGTGATGTGGTTGTACCATGTCTCTCTGCAGTGTACTTAAAAATAGTACTGCATGCAGTACTTTTTTTTAAGCACACACAACTGGAACATGGTAGTGTGAACTGCGCCTATCCATGATAAGTCAAATTGCCTTGTCTTGCTTTGGACTGCGCTTGAAAAAATGGCCAGCACAGCATGAACTCATATGGTGTAACCCTTAGATGACTTCAATATTTTACTGATTCTGATGAGAAGCTATCCCTGCTGGAGGTCTTGGTTTTTTACACTTGCCACAACAAATACTAAACCAAGCAATGGTGCCACAGTCCCATGCTGGCTTTTCTATAGTATAGAATAGGCAGAAGCAAACAGTGATTAAGATTAAGTAATTGGCCCACGCACAGAGATGGTCTTTGGTGGTCTACAGAAAATGCAACTTCAATGATTGTGTTACACTTTCCTGTGCCATGACCCGGTGCCGGGTTTTTACTCCTATCCCAGGTGTTTGGCTCTCTGCCAATCCACCCTGAAGCTCACTTGTTACCCGACGTTTAAGCAACAAGTCATTACACTTGACCGGACCCCCTGTGTACTATTTGCTTTGGATCCCTGCTGTTTGCTATTTACCTGCTTTGTTTCTTCTGCCTCCTGTTATTCCCTTGTACTCCCTGTGAGATCCTGCTTACCTGTGAGATTGTCTTCCCTGTGTGGCTGTTTGTTCTTGCAGCCGCACTCTTCTGTTACCTCCAGATAGCCGTGTTGTGCTGTCTCTCTATTGTCTCCTTGTGTTCCGTTCCCATTGTTTGGACTCCTGCTCCCGTATCCCTTTTTATCCTGTACTGCTGTTTGTGTACAGGCCTTGCCCCTGTCTAACTTTGTATCCTGAGCCCCAGTGCTGCAACTAGTTTCCTGAGTCTGTGCGGGTGTGCTACAGGACTGCAACCTGGAGGGTGTCCAGCTGCCAATCATCCTCACCATTAGAGACTCTGTGGAAGACCTGGCCCTTCTTAGAGCCTGCGCCTCTAGTGCGTCCCCGATAATGCATAAGCAAAACAAAACAGTTTCACATATTCTGCAGAAGACGTGTATCTAAAACCTCTGTTTTTACCCTTAGCGGTTAGACAGTTTTTTTTTTTTTTTGCATACTGGCTGGTGAGTGTGCTGGGAAACTTTTTTCTGTTGTACCCCATAATGCACAGACTCCTAGTTTCAGAGTCCTCTGCTCTGTACCTCAGGCTTCACTCCAGCTTGCTACTTCAAATCGCTCCATAAATCCCAGAGCCTGGTGCTCAAGTTTCCCAGATTGTGACAGATTATTTACTATAGTCACAGCACATCTGTGTATGTAACATTTTCTTACATAAACCTATATATTCTGCACAAATTCTATATTTCTCAAACTATATAAACTATTACATTCAGTGGCGGAATGTAGAGGGCCCCTATGCAAAGTACTTTTTTCCACCAACTCCCTCCTCCCCTCCTTGAATGATACCTTTTTACAGTACTACCTGACCAGTGTATTCTACACTGAAAGTTCACTGGAGACACACTTTTCACCAGGCATTCTCATCTTTTCTGTATTCATATAAATCTTTGTTGCTGACCAAATTGGTGTTAATGACGTAGTTGGCCAACAGACCTGCTACTGTGCTATATAGATAAGTATGTATCATGCTCGGCCTAGTTCCCTCAGCAGATTCACTTCATTCATGAAGGTCCTCTGATGACAAGAATGATCTATACCAATTACTTTTCTTTCTCATGTTTAGCTCTGAATTGCTGTGTCAACACATGATTAATTATGTGCTGTACAGCTACATATAAATATTGTAACATATCAAACCAGAATGACAGTATAGTACATAAAACTCTTTGAGGCTCATTTAAATTTTCATGTTTGACGTAGAATTTTAGATATCTTGGTATGCACCCAGTGCATTGCTGTATACTTTCTCAGATACTTGTATCAGTGTACCAGAGAACACATACAGTATATCACATCACATTGGGTGTTCATCACTGGACTATCCCCTCTAACGTATAAATCACAATGAATGCTATAACAAAATCAGCAACTGCTCATAAAATCATAGGCTTTGCCGTCCACTTTATTTCCCTGTTTTACTGCAATCTAGACGGACCCACTTCTTATGCATGTCTCCATGCACTGGTGCATGTCATGTGTAGGTAAACATATCTTTAAAATCTGAGCAATAAAATCTAAATAAGTCTCCAGCACAATCCATCCTCTGCTCCATCATCTTTTTTTCTCCAGAAATAATGCTTTCAGAACAGAATTATATGTTTTGCACCCTTCTTGCCTCTCTGTCTTTCCGAGTAATAAGAGAAACAGTCTTTAGAGGAGTTGTAGAACCCCAGCATATACTACAAAACACATAAAGTTCCCAGCACATTTGCCAGCTAGCCTGCAACAAAACAAATTACCCCGTCTAACAGTATGCAGTAAAAACAGAGGTTTTAGTTACACAAAACTTTGGCCAAAAATTTGTAGAAGCCACACTGCCCTGTCAAGGCACCTCTGTGAAGTGTGGTCCTAGCTCTATTTGTGAGTCTCCATGTTGGGGCATATTTAAGCAGTTGATAAACTGGATGCAGGTATACCTGGAGGGAGCCCACTGTTCCTTAATGGTGCAGGGACGCACTGGAGGCCCAGCAATCCAAAATGCACGCAGGGACCCCCAGTGCATCCCAACACCAAACACAGCCAAGCTAGAAATACATTGTAAACAGCATATTCTATCCTGTTATAACATCAGCATTGTAATTGGAATACATACTAGAGTTGTTTTTCATAATGCAATCACAGCCAAGCTAGAAAAACATGGTAACCAGCCTAAATTATCCTGTTATAACATCAGCATTGTAATAGGAATACATACTAGAGTTCTTTTTCATGATGCAATCAAAGCTTACTAGAAAAAATCCTTATTATGTAGTGAGTGCTACCTTCTGTCTGCCCATCACTTTCAACGACTTCCCGAATTCCCAGTGTGCTTTGCATCTTTTCCCTGCTGGTTGATGTGATACAATCTCGATTTCTCAACACTACATATCCCAACATGCATTGCTTCCAGCAAGCAGTGATGATGTTATAATCAGGTAGTAGCTGTAGTTCAGAAGGCAGGCTTAGTTAGAGTTGTGACACAAGGAAGTTCATATTCACAGGGCTGAGTGAAATTGCGTCAGTGCAGTGAGGAAGTACATCCTATGGGTATCTTTAATACGTTTACAAACTTCTAGATAGATCTGGTTATCAGGAGTGAGATACAAATTCGGGAAAACTCAATATAGAAATACATCTTTTTCTTAGTTTTTGACCAGAGATACTCAGTATCTTATAATGTCTGCATAATTTCCTCTACCTTTAGATCTTGTTTCTTTCTTACACATTTTATTGCACTTTCTCATTTTATTTTCTATAACTGATACTGTACCATCTGGTACTATATTGCTTTAAGGTAAAAAGAAATGTTATCCTATGTGCTTTTAACATGTAACTATTCCACTAGGGACGTGATGGGACACCTGGAAAACAAGGCTATCCAGGAACTAATGCCAAACCAGTAAGTTAAATGCACACATGTAATGTAATCCTTTATTTCATCAGCAGCTCTTATTCATCTGCCGTAACATATAAAGTGAAGTAGAATAATAGCTCTGAATTTAGAGATATGCCTTAGGGAGGTGAAAAAAGCCCTATTAAACCTTTGCTATTTTCAAATGTAATGTAAATAGACATTATTATCTTTTTTATGAGTTTGAACATTTTAAAGCAAAATGATCAAATGATTTAATGTGAATAATAATTTACCTTGTGTAAATGTTTTGAAACGTTTGTTCCTCTTTTGTTTGAAACATACACATAGGCTGTCATATTTTATTGTCACTCCTGGCTGGGCTTGATGTTAGCATAATGATTGCATGTTCATCTTAATGCATCTTAAAGCATAGACAGAGCTATGTCAACAGACTTTCACTGAAATTGATTGTCATAACGTATTATGTTTTCAGCACAGTCTGAAAAATAGCAAGCATGTAAAATATGAATCATATCATATTAAATCATATCATATCATAACAGACAGCCATTACAATAACTCAGAATAAATTCTAAAAATGCAACAGGATTTACACTGATGATCTTCACATGTAACATACTGTATATAAATGTAAAAACAGGCCAACCCCCAAAACCATTCAATTTTATCAGCATTATCCATATGCATCTATATTTAAATAACCATTCCAATGCTCAAAATCCCTGTCACTTCAAATAGTTAAGGCATAATTTAGAATTTTGCAGCATAGGTACTGCTAATATTTTGGTAATAAAAAAAAGTACTACATGCTTTTGTTCTGCACTACTTCTCACTACACCAAAAGAGCTATAAAACTATGATTGCAAACCCAGTATAAGTAATTCTTTCATTAATTGTAAACTGTAGTACACTATGTAACATATGACCTTACACAATCAAAAGTTATATTCTTAAAGCTGAATTCCAGTCTTACCTTCAGTCTTGCACTGTTGTACTGTTCACTGCACACAGTGAGCTTCTCACAATGTGCAATAGAAACTGCAGCAATTCAGATAGAGCCCATCCTATTTACTGGCTTGAAAATGCCCAGCATCTTTTAGTCCTTTCCTTCCCAGCCTGACTGCCCCTTGTCCGCTCCTTTTATTCATTACATTTGAGTTCTTTCTATCATGGAGGCTCCGCAGCACATGAGGGTGTTACCTAGGACAGTCTGCATGCAAATTCAGCCTGCCCAGGAATTCCCACTACTCTAGGCAGACATCCACCCACAAAGACCAAAAACCTTAAAAATTACTTTTATTACCTTTAAGTGATCATCCTAACCTGTATTAACCCATAGCAACCAATTAATCCGTCTTGTACTAGTTTGAATACAACAAAGTGAATTGTGATTGATTGCTTTGCACTTAAAAATATGCACATAAAGGAAAGGAGCACTTTTTCTTATGTAAAATATATACATTTGACCTAAATCTCTCTGCTCATCTTAATGGTGAAATAGTAAAAAACAGACTTCACATACAGATGTGGCTCTCCGCTGTCAGGTCCTGGCAGCGCATACTGTACACCCTTAGCTACCCCTAGCAAATAATGGCTTGCCAATCAATATGTAGATAGGTAGGCCATTATGTCCTATGGGGGCTGAAATCATGTACGCCATATTGAAGACAAGTCACAATTCTTTCCAAGAACCACCTGCACTACTTACAGTCTGCAACCTTTCAATGATGGTGGTGCTCATGGTGATCACATGGATGGCACCGTGCAAAACTCAGGATAATCTCAGCAGGTCACCAGCACACACAAAGATCTTTGTGTGTACCGATGACCTGCTGAGATTATATTGAAGAGAAGGTCAGCTTCCCCATTGCTGCTCAGCTATGGCAATGAAGAATCATGTCTATATCTGAGATCTGTTGTCTAAATATGCTGCTGTCATCAGGATAGGGCTGGCATTTTTTTTTTCTTTCTTATGAAAATTAGAGATCAGAATAACTCATCTGCATTCTGACATTTTCAATACATTTGTTCAGCAGTACTAAAGTTTGACATTTGCAGTGTGTTAGAAGAAAGCTAGCTGTGTACTTACTATGTGCATGCTTCTTGAAAAATTACTCTATTTCTTTTCTCTATATTGTTACATTGCATTACTTATCTGTTGCCATAGTTACATATCATCTCATCACTTCTATTTAAATAGGGAGAAAGGGGGGACAAAGGTGATAAGGTAAGTACAATCCGCCTTGTTATAATGCAGTGGCTTTACAATCTAATTATTTTTGTTGAGAGAAAAGAAATAAACATTCAAAATATTCAAAATTATTTTTATAAATGTAATTGGGTGTAATAGTATTTGCACTAGATAGTGTTAGTCCTATCAAAGGCTGTGTTTTCCACAGGCCATGTTCCTGTTTGATTAAAGAATTATAAGCAAAATTAACAGAAATTAATACATTAAAGAGTATCTCTAGGCAAAAAAACTTTTTTCCCCATAGTTTTGGATAGAGCAGAGAAGGGTTTGCCCCTCTGTTAAGTTTTTCACCCCTCTATTTGTACAGGTGACCATTGTCACCAAACCAAAAAGTGAGGAAAAAATCCAACATTTTACAGTTGTCCGCAGAAATCTTCCAATGTGGACATCTCTTGCGGGGACAACTGTCTTGTTGTGTCTTTGGGACAGGAAATGAAGGGAAATTTCCCCAGTGGCACACAGACAGAAACAATAACCTGGTAAGGTTACTCTACTCTATCCAATGCTTTAAAAAATAGTTTTGGTTATTTGATTTTATTTATAATGATTTTTTTTTCTGTTATGCTTTCCCCCAAAAAATACTTTTTCTGTAAAAATAATGACAGACAAGCAGGACCTATTATAACAAATTACATCTTATTTTGAACAAAGTAACTGTTTATTCTGTTGTAAGCCCTTGTCACAGAACAATGTAAGAGCTCAAATTGCTTTCTTTCATACTCTCCGTTTGCAATAGCTGATCCAAGAAAAAAAAAGTAACTCATTATATTCAAAATTGTATTAGTCTTCAGTGTGAATGTGATTAGGAGCCATACTGATCGATTCCTTGCTGATCTGGCTAATGCATTGTGATCCCTTCTGTCTATTGACCTCATTATCACAGAGAAGGGAAACACTTTAGATTATGATATTCATTTAGTAAGACTGGAGCAGAATCTGGAGCAGCCGTGTATGGCAACCAATCACCTTTTTTTTTCAAAGCTTAAAGGGACACTAAACTCAGGAGATAAATCCTAAAAAATGCATCAAAGTACCCTAATTATTAACATAAATGTATCTTATTTGTGTATCACTCGGCTGTAGATCCTCAAATCATCTCTGAATTGGTGCCGACGCTGTCCTTCCTTCTGGAGGGTGGCTACTTTTGTTCCCCAATGGCCCCTACGTGTGTTGTAAAGTATCCAACGTTCTAAGCTCACTCCCGTGATGGACTGCAGTCTCAATACAAATTAGTAAACTAAACATGAGATTGTAGTCTATCACAGGAGTGAGCTTGGATCTCCCGAGTTTAGTGTCACTTTATCTGAACAAGCTAAAGACAGAAGCTGATTGGTAATTATGTACAGCTGCTCCAGAGTCTGTCGGCTCCATTTCTAGTAAACCCCCCC